TGATTGGTTTGATGGTAGGTCGCTGGTATGGACCTGCATTTTTATGGGTGGGGGGGGGGGGGGCGGGGGGGGGGGGAGAATACTTTTGTCCATCATTGTGTTCATTATTACTTTTTATTTCACTCAAATTCCAATGACACAGAGACAGTCCTTATCCTAACACTTTGTACAGAGCCTTACAAATTCCCAGCAATAAAAATGCTGTTCCAAATCAGCGACCTACCATCAAACCAATCAATGGCAGCTTTTGCAGAAGGGGGGTCATCAAAAGAAACGGTGGCTTCTCCTTTCAGTTTTCCTGTCTCACGGTCTGTATACAGATTAATCATAGGCTGCCCAGTTTTCTTGTTCATCTAAAAGACACGAGATGACATTCCCATCAAATAAAGTGTTCATGTTTCTGTAGCCGCTCATACAACTATTTAGTGATGGTATTTGTTTGTTGCTCATTTCTGGAGACTGCCACCCATCTCAAATATGTGATTCTAGGCAGTTTTACAACATTAAAATAATAAAAACATAAAATACATAATTGCTGACCCTGTATAAACAATGAACAGCAATCAATCAAACAAGCAAGGAAGGAAGCGGAAGACCTCCCATAATTCATTGGGGTCCCAGGTTTGAGCACAGAACCAAATCTTTAGAGTCTTTTTTCTCTGTTATGTAAATTTTACCTCAAGTATAAAAATGTTAAATGTTAACTAGCCTTTAGGTGAGATACATTACAAATAAAACTATCTGAAATCATCTTGGAGTCTTCTATTTTCTTAATTCAAAAATTCAAGGCAATTTTTGTCTTTATATGTGATTCACAAACTAGGTGATGATCCTCTGGATTCCCAACTAGCATATTTCTAAATGGATCCATTATAGTGCAAAGAATTTGTTTACCTTGATGAGGCCAATCTGCTTAAAGTATTCTGAAACAGACTCAATGGTTACATTTTCACCAAGTCCTTGGACAAAGATGGTGTTATTGTCAGAATTATCCTGCTCATTAGCTGCAAGAGAAGAAATAAGACTTAAACAAAATAAATTCCAAACGTATCGAACTATTCTGGGCTGTACAAATTTTCAAATCTGTATTCCATTTTATTGAAGTGAACAGACGTTTTCTTTGGTTAAATACAACAAATCTTCAATCCTGCATTATGATAAAGTTCATTTCTCCTACAACTCAAGTTTGTGTTTTTAACACAACTTAAATCAGTTAAGTTTAATAGTTTTTTGTTCACCAGAATATCAACAGAAGTCAAAAGGCAGATTTGAAGGTGCCCATCAAAGTCTCAAGTTAGTCCTGAGCATTGATTGCTTTACTGGTCTTGACGAACAGCAGTCCTTAAGACAGAACACTTGTGATAAGTGCAAAGCTTTGTTTTGATTATTAAGTGGAATGAGTATGAAACCAGTCAAGCAACCACTTACCAGAATCATGACGTGAGCCTTGGTCCCGTGGTCCTTTTGTCACATGAAAACAAGGAAGGAAAAGTTCAGTTAGACAGACAGTGGGCTTCCCTTTTTTTTCCACATCACCATATTACAATAACATTAGAAACAGGCCAGTGTTGAACATATGCAGCCTCACAATTAGAATGTAAGAAAACATACCCGCCCAGTCAGAAGCACTCCATATCTTAATGATGAGATTATTTATTACATAACCAGTTTAAACATTCTTTCCGCCAGGACATATTGAACCCTAATTTTTGCAGCTTTGGAGGGAGGAGCATGGCCTCCAGATACACACTCAACACAGCATGGGACAACCACCCGGAGGAATCTATTTTTCCACTTTCATAGCATACATTAGTCACTGCTACCCAGTCTCATATTGACCCTCAATCAGTTTTTTTTAAATCTCCCATACATGAGGCCTGTGGCAGAATTCTGCAACCTATTCCATTTTTGTTTTCTTGAACACAAGAGCTATGTGTTGACACCACCTTATACCACAGAATACATTTTGAATAAGTTCTTTTACAAGATTAGATTTTTAGTTTTGAGAAACCATCAGGTTCTTTACTTATGTCAACCATTCTATTAACATATTATACACAGAGATTTATTTAAAAAAACATTTTGACACCTCCATTCTTAATTACTTTTGAAAGCGTATGCCCAACACTGGTCTCAAATTCATTAATAATCCTAGGCAGACCGTTTTAAAATTTTTGTGCCAAGCCTTTTTCAGCAAACCCTATGGGAACGTTCCTTAAAACCAATTAGTTTAGTTTGGTACATTCATGTTTCAAAACAAAAAAACAAAAAAAACCACCTTTTATGAAACTTCATGATATTAAAACCAAACTTTCTTTAAAATAGAAGCCCATGAAAACATTTATTTGTCAAAGAGCTCTTAAGAGTTTTATACAGACAAAATTATACATTCCGGTTTCAAAAGAGTGGCCCCCTCGGCATTTCTTTCCTGTACCAGTAGTTTTTTAAACCAGGTAACATAAACCTTCATTTTTCCATGTTTCTTCAGGACTGCATGCACTTCCATTAACACTTTTTAAGTCAACATTTGCATGTGTTTCTAAACAGGGGACAACACACAAGCCCAACATTTATGAAGTGAATTTTCCATGTGTTCTCCCACAAAACACAAGTCTAGGTTTCATTTTTTTCCCCCAGTCTTGTTGCATAACATACAACCAAAATTGGCCCAAAGAACTTGGCTGAGTAGAAAACCCAGAACGTGGAAATCAACACCACAGATACAACCAACCATTTTGGCATATGTGCCACAACAGGGAGTGCTCCCATAGGTTTTTATCTGATAAACGGTGGCTTTTCATTTCTTTGGCATACAAACAGAGTCTCCGAAAAATAATATAATAGAAATACACTTTTGTGGTTCAAGTTTTTGAACTCTTTGGACTTACCACCAAATTTATTGAAGCCACCACCTCGCTCACCACCGCTGAGGAGATAAGTTAGAAGATAATGATGCTTTTTCCATGGCTAAAAAGGTTTGTTGCTAGAAACTACACCATATCCATTAAGATGCTGGCCAACACTTATGTTTGATTCTTCCTGAAGATCTAAAGACAACCTCTCCACCTTTTTCTTGCCCTCAGCATTTTTTTAAAAATAAAGCATGATACCCTTTGAGAAGGTTTGCAATTGCTAATGTTTAGTCAATCTTGCTTCTGATCTTGAACTGTTACATGTGACGTCCTGATGCAGCTTTTGGGACAAAGTTGTTTTCCTTGTAGGTGTTCTATTCTTGGCATGGACTGGTGAACCAAGGTTGTTTTTAAAATATTGCATACCGTGCACACTGTATTTCTAAGTGACTTTTCTCAAATTATTGTTTTTGCAGAGCTTTTGTTGCATACAATCCTACATGCAGATATCTGCTTTGAAAGCATGTATAAAACCCATTCTCTCATCAGAATATTCATAATATTAAATCACTCAGCTCTAAAAACTGCATTATCTGCCTGCCATTAAAGATCTCTCTCCCTTCCTCAGACCCTTAACTAACATGTGGAAGGTGGAGATTTGATTAAAGTTCATTGACTTTCACACCTGTGGCACACAAAATGCAGAATTTGTTAACAGAACAGGTATTGTTAACAGAGCAACAACTTTTCATAAGCAAAACAACCCTTCAACTACCCATATCTATACTCACCTCTCTACTATCTTGTCTTCCCCCAATCAGAAACCCACATGGTCAATGTTGCTTAGCAATCATTGTTTTTCAAATACCAACTTTAGTCACCCCTCGATAAAAAAAGAGGCAGTACAAGTACCCAAGAACAGTTTGAGGATCCTACATGGTCCATCATAAACCACAAGTACAAGAAATGAGTAAACATGAACACATCCGTTTAAACCCAATTTGACAGCCATTATATGGCTAAACCATAGTATTAACCCCAAGGAAAAGCTGGTTTACAATTTGCCCAGAAGCATGTTGCTGAAACAATCATAGAAGCCTCAAGTTGCTATCAGCATATAAACCATGCCCCTTCCATGTCCTTCATTAGGTTTACACTGGGGTGGAATTGAAGGATAATCCTATTATCAATCTCCTTTATGCAAAAATTGTAGTAATATGGTATTTTGTAGTATGAGAATCCTCTACGTACTTGTACACGACTGTAACATGGGTCATAGAGAAGTATAATTCACCTTCGAGGAACAGTACTGATACTCATATCAAGTGCACCTTTGAGGTTGTCAACAATCCAAGTAGGATTACAAGATGAAAGTGCCATATTTCACCCCATGCACCAACTTGTTACTGCAATGATTCATTTGTCAGAAAGTAATTTTAACTCCTTCACATGCAGGTAACAGAATACCTTTTGATCGCCATTAAGAATTCACCCCATACAAAAAAAAAAAAAAGCACACCAATTTTGTACAAGGTGGTTTCCCCAGCCTTAGATCACCAAAAGTTCAGTTTTCAAATTTTGTACCCTCCCAGAAAACAATTAGCTTTTTTCAAGTACTAAGAAAAAAAATTAAAAACCCGCTCCCTCTACCACAACAACCTATTAAGACACCTACCCCATGCCACCTCCACGGCCACCTCTGTTGCCACCTCTACCACCACTCCGATCAAAGCCACCTCTACCATATCCGCCGCCGCCACCTCCTCCTCCGCTGCCTCTGCCACGGTTGCGGTCCTGTTGACCCCCGTATCCACCTTGATCCTGGCTGCCATAGCCTCCTCCACTACCACTTCCACTCATGGAGGATTGTTCCTGGCCATAGCCACCAGCTGGAGAAAAAAGTGAAGGGGGGAAAAAAACCAAAATCAAAACATGACCCCTGATTTCTGACAATAAGAAAGCAGGAATAGGAAGGGTAAAATTCTTGCAGCAGTCCACCAGAATCAGATATTGTATTCCGTAGACTTCCCCTTTGCCAAAATTTAAAATAAACCAAGATGAGCTGAAAAGAACATCTACTCACAACCACCGCCACCTCCTCCTCCACTGCTGCTGCTGCTGCTGCTGCCATATTGACTCTGCTGGCCGTAGCTCTGAGGTGGGTTGTAGGAAGGTTGCTGCCCATAGGAGCTTTGCTGCTGGCTGGCATAGCTTGACTGCTGGCCATAACCACTTTGGGGTTGCCCATAACTGGAAGTTTGGGAGCTGGTGCCATAACTGCAGATTTCACAAAAGAACAAGCATAAATAATGCTACTCTAGCCTCATGCAAAGTACGTCCTTTAAACTAGCTTTATCCTATTAGGATTCTTCAGATTCCCCTCTCCAAGCTCATCCACACCATATGGCACTAGTCAGACTTCACAGTCATCCTACGGACAGCAGTCATCTTATCCCAGCTATTCTCAGCAGCCAACCAGCTCCAGCACTGGGAGGTAAATGCTAATTAGGCTGGCTCCTGTTTTTTTTCTGTTCAGAGTTGCGGGATGGGCTTGGAGAGGGGAAGGGTTAGCAATAAATCAGCATCAAACCTGGTGTCATATTAATGCCTGCAGGATTTTCCACCATTACTTATAGCTTTGAATTAAATGGAAATGTTTGTATTTGGTTCAGAGGATATGTTTGGAATATGCAGGAGCATGTAACCGAACATCTGCCTACAACCCATTAAAGATATATTTGTTGCCAAGACAGCATAGCTGCATCAGCATCCCAACAACAGCTATATCATCTTGCAAAACTGTTGCTTTAGCAACTCAAAAGAATGCGATATTTGCTTCTGAAGTACTCCACACTGATGTTTTAATGAATACTACTGCCAAGTTAGAAAATACAAAAGGTTGCATAACTTTACACATAGTCATTCTCCTAATCCCAAATTAAGTTCTGTAACTTTAGCTAATAAACAAATAAATTCCATTAGTTATTACCAAGCTCTATCATGGGATGGGATGCAACAGTATCATTTTCATATTTTTACCTCTAGAAACCAAGCTTTTATGTTGGTGTGTCACGGAACTGGTAAGCCAGAATCACTCATCTCTCCCAGCTGAACTAATCTCTCATGTTTTCCTAGATAGTTATGAAGTTCAAAAACAAGACTAGTGTACTTACAGCCCTGTGTCTGGCCATAAGATGAGCTGTAACTACTTTGGCCATATCCAGAAGTATCTGCGGATTGCCCATAGCCACCATAACTCTGCTGTCCATATGGTTGGCTGGTTTGTTGAGAATAACCTTGTGTGGGTGGAGTTGGGTAGGCCCCATAACTAATGGAAAAGAGGAGGTAAAAATCAGCCAAGGAACTTATTTCCACAATGAACTTTCAGATTTTTGCTTTTCACCATGTCTAATGTGCTCCATTTAAATTACAGAAGTTGCAAGTGCTATTTCCAAGATGGCTGATAATCCCACAAATGTGGGAACGGTGCTGTGTTAATTCTGAAAACATACTGGAAATACTCAGAAATAAGCAATACAGTAAACCTATTTTAAAAACAGGTGTAATATTATTTATGGTTGAACAATTTAATGACTGTTGGAGCCCTTGAAAATTTGAGCATCAGGGGTCATCCTATTGCATTTGGGAAACTTAATGAATATCTAAAATAAATGAATTTTAAGCAATATTCCCTAAGGATAAATGTTTTTATGTTAATGCACACTATTTTAATAAATTTGTTACATACTGAATTGTACTGCAGTTGATAGTTAAGATTGTTAATTTAAGCAACTTTCTGTATTTTAGCCCCTAAGGACAACCAGTTTAGACATACCATTTGTAAGGAATTACGGTTATTAGTACATTAAAATGCAAATCAAGACACAAGATTTCTGAACAAATCAGTATCATAACATCTTCATCTTTCTTATAAAAAAATTGCCTATTGAAAGCATGATATATCAAAACATCTGAGATGGGCAGTACCTAAATTTGATAAACAAATAAAATAAACATGTTACTCATACATAGAAAATTAATTCCAGTGTCATTTACCTCTGTGTTGTTGACTGGCTATAATCTGCAAGAGAATTGGGGAAAAAATTAAAACAGATCCACTGAACAAATTTTAAGAACCCAACAGTGAAAGGCAATCCCCAATTTGTACGACTATAGCTCCTAGCATCCCCAAGAATCAGGGCCAATAGATGCCCAGTTTTATTCAATTTCTGAGATACCCCAAGTTGTACAGCATTAGCCATAAGTCTGTAACTGAAAATGTTTGCAATCCATGGCTGCCATGTATTACTCAGAATGGATGCATTAGCGCAAGAGCTGTATCCCAGTGTTGGTACACAGTATTGAATAAAAATGTCTAAAAATATCTCTATGCCACTTTGGCATGAGATCTGCAGAATGTGAAAATTATACTGTTACTCTTCAAAGACTTACCCTTTATGCACAATATAAATATGAAAAAGTTAACATCACATTTAACTTTGTTGTAGCTGTGTTACCTGGAATTTCAGGTTTCATTAGTTTTTCAATGGTGATATTAGCATTTAAAATGGCATCCATGCCTTCTTTTGAAGTTCCAGAAACCATGTTTTCTTCTTAACCAAACCAATATTTTTAATGTGAATTTTTTCCCCCAGTAACTAAATTGAGAGCATATTCTGGAAGTCCTTGGATGCATTTGCAAGTATTAAAAAACACAAACTTGACTCAGAAAAGGAATGATGTAACCCATAAATTTGCCACTAGTGAAATGTTACCTGAAACTAGTGCTTTCTACTATTTCTCATGTCTAATCAATGTCTTTCGTTGTTTGATTTATTGCATTTCTAATGCATTATTTTGATAACCTATAAAAAACTTGACATTCTCCTTTAATAAACCTTTTGCTTTGCCTGAACAGGCATGATATTCCCCTCAGAAAAAAAAATCGGGGCCGGCCAAAGAAATCGCCCGCCCCTCGCACCGACCGCCGCGCGTGCCCGCCGCTCGCCCTGGCGATTCCGAAAAAAATCGGAATTCCGATTTTAATCGGAAAAATATCATGCCTGCTGAAGTATCCATGATTCGTGGGTATGCATGTAGTGCAAAAGCCAACTTTGCAAAGTAAAGTGTATCTTCCCAAATTCAGCAACCATATTCTTTTCATCTTTACAGCCATCTGAATGCTTGAGTTTTAGGCAAGCAGCTGGAGATGCTTCTGGTACTCAGTTTAATCAGATTTCAAGAACTCTTTTTGGGGGGCAAAATTCAAGCATCCTTTCAGTCCAGAAGGGAAGAGATTAGGAATAAAGGAGTTTGAGGGAACAAACTGTTACCTGAGATGTTAGACTTCATTATTAAAATTTTAACAATTGCAATCTAGCCCTTTTCTTGTAACTTTTAAGAAAGCATTTTTTCTCTTCTTAGCTAAGGCCACTTCTTTTGCTATGTCAAGAGCTTGCTTTTTCAGCAACTACACATACAAATGTATTCTGGAAGTCCTTGAATATACTGTCCCGCGTTGAGAGAAATACCAACTTGATTGGAACAGCGAGTATGTAACCCATAAATTTGTCACTTATGGAATATATGAGAATCAATGTTTTCTATTGTTCAAGTCTCATATATAATCAATGTCTTTATTGTTTGATTACTTGATTACTGATATATCACATGTACTGAATGTATGCAACATTTGTTTCTGTACCACATAAAAATACCTGATCCTCCTTAATATAGGTAGTCTTGATTTACAACAGATCATTTAGTGACCATTCCAAGTTGCAACTGTACTGAAGTAACTTATGACCATTTTTCACACTTACAACCATTGCAGCATCCCTGCACTCACGATTAAAATTCAGTTGCAGCATCCCAGGGTCATGTGATCCCCTTTCACAACCTTCTGCCAAGCAAAGTCAATGGGGAAGCCAAATTTGCTTAACAATCGTGTTACTAACTTAAGACAATACTCTGCTTAACAACACTGTGGTAAGAAAATTCATAAAGTGGGGCAAACCCCACTACCAAGGTTTCACTTAGCAGCATAAATTATGGGCTCAATTGTGGTAACTCGAGGGCTTTTTTCCCCTTTCTTCTTTGCCTGAATTACTTGCACTCGGGCTTTTGGATTTTCGGGCAGGTGAAAAGTGTTTTCTCTCAAATTCAGTGAATATAGTCTTCTTCAGCTCTAGCTCGGGGGTGCAGGCAATTGTGAAGCCCCCCAATTTTCCACGTCCAAAGGCCGTTTTTTAAAAATAACCATCCAACAGTCCGTAATGACTGCCCCCCCCAACAAATAAAAAAGGTGAGGGGAAAAAAAAAAAGGCCGCGCAGTGAAAATGAGTGGCAGCTTAACAGGGACCGAGTAAATTATTTACCTACCCATGGAGTGGAACAGCTTTTAAAGCTCAGTTGAGTTTAGACTTAGGTTTGCCAGAAAGGGGGCGTGTGGAATTAGGGCCGAAGCCCAGCCACTAGCGAAGATGGGCAGGAAAGAGCGCGCGCTCCCTCAGCGACCAAGCAGCCGTTGGGCGCGCGTGGGCGAGCAAGCATTCTAAAAGAACCCGGATGTTGCACTGCGGCAAAAAAAAGCGGCATCTACGCGCATGCGCCGACGGCCCGCGTAGCCGGCTGGGGGCCACGCATGCGTACTCCCGGATCGCCCGGTTCAGAAAGCCCGCTCTCCGTTTTTCTCAGCAGTTCCGTCTCGCGCATGCGTGCTTTTCCCTGCCCCTCAAAGAGTTCCTCGGAAACCCCGTTTCTCTCTTCTCCCCGCCTCCCCCTAGCGGGTCTCACGCTTTCCTAAAATGGCCGCAGCGAAATGGCGCAGTTGAGACTAATGGGCGATGCGCAAACCTTTATAGGGACAAGGAGAGCAGCCGTAACTTCAACCTCCCTTCTCCGGTGGAGCACCCGCACTTTACTCTCTTGCTCCCTCTAGCCGCCCAGGATCTAGGAACCAACCCAAAGCCTCCCCAGTCAAAGAGCTCTGATCGCCCCATCCAATTTGTCAAGAGAGCCCAGCCTGGCCCTCTCCCCAAAGAAACCAAGGCCGAGTCGGGAGCCCTACTCTACATCTACCCGATGCCTTGTCTCTTGGCCGCCTCAACCGAAGCCCTGAAATATTACTCGCAGACTTCTACAGCAGCTCCTCCCCCCACCCTCCCAAAGCGCGAAAGGGCGAAGCGTCCTCTTTTGCTCTGGGTTCTGGTCGGGGCACGTCTGCCTGCCTTCCTCCCTCTCCCCCGATGGAGTCCCTCCTCCCATTTGACCCACTGCGGTAAGTTCTCTCCACGGAAGGCAATTTGCTCCAATGCCCCATCGCACGTTCCCTGTGACCACGAGGACTAGCGACTTAATCCTGCCAAAATCGAGCTAAAACCCCTGCGCTCCTTTTGCAGCGGTTTGTGAAGGCCCGACATCCCCTTCGCGGTCTCTCCGGCGGCTCCCCTGCCTCTCTTACCGTTGGACGCCATAGCTATAGCTTCCCAGCAAACTCCCTCACGTCTCCTTCGCCGCCTGGTCCCAGCCGCTCCCTTCGCGGCAAATATAATTGCCCCTCCCCTTTCCTTTGGGCTACACCATCTCAGATGACAGGGGTGTCAGGGAGAATCGTTTGAATGAGGCAGATTACTTTTCGTTCTAAAAACAAACAAAGATTCTCTTGTTCGCCGATGAGTGTGCAAGCCTCCACACGAAATTTCTTTATTTTGAAATAACCCTTACGTCGCACTCCGCGGGAACAGATTTAGAAAGCCAGCTGCTTCCCCCCCTCCTCACAATCGAAATAGTGTCAGTCCAACCTGTTGGGTGGGATGAGATTACGGCGGCAGCCTGGGCGCAACCAAAGGAGGAAGTAGGGGGGGATTGAGGAGAAATCGGGGAAAGTAGCTCTCCCTATGGGCGTCTGTTGTAGGGCCCAGGGGTGGCGTCTCTTGCAAAAATCCTATGGGTTAATGTCAGCGGAATCTGGAATCATTTTAAAAATGGATTTAGTAGATTGCAGGGGGTAACACACTTGGGATTCTGGTTCTGAGCTGTTCTGGGAATCCAGCATCAGTTGCTTCCAGGAGGACAGAAGCACCGATGAAAAAAGGCATTGCTGCATTTCAGACCCATCGTCTTTGGGGAGGGGAGGGGGGAGAGGATCTGGCCGAGCGGCCCATCCTTTTTCGCATCTTGCCTGGTGGAGTTTTGCACGCTCCTCTTCTGAAAAGGGCACCGAAATTGTAGGCAGCGCTGGCTGAACAAAAATCTGGCAGCTCAACCCCTCCATCTTGCTAAGCCTATCCTGGGGAAACCTGGATGCATTTCAGGTTTCTCATTTGGGCTCCGGGCTCTTGAAAGTAGCTTATTGACCCAGAAAGCTATGAAACCGGTTGAAATCAGCTTGTCTGTCATATAAACGTATGCATAATGTTGGAGGGTTGCAAGTGCTTGGAGCAGGCAGTGCCTTTTGGTGATGGCCCCTGGTTGGGCAGCTCCTCAAGGGTGGTGAGATAGGCTGCCTCATTGCTCTGTTTCTATCTAATGCTATTTTGCACTATTCCACTGGTCATCCTTTCTCTCCTACCACTATAATCTTCAGAATTGATTGCATTTCATTTCATTGATGACATGGAATTGACAACATGGCATTTGTGCTGCGGATTAGTGCTGTGGCCTGTTTTTACAGAGAGCCTGATTCAGAAATGGATGCATCCATACCAAACAAGAATATATAATATAACACTAAAACATTATGAAGAATGGTTGCAGGGACTGGGTATGGCTGGTCTAGAGAAAAGAAGGATTGTGTGACATGACTGCAGTGTTCCAATATTTGAGGGGCTGCCACAAAGAAGAGGGTGTCAACTTATTTTCCAAAGTACCAAAGGGCAGACAAGAAATAATGGAGACTAATCAAGGAGAGAAGCCAAACTGGAATTAAGGAGAAACTTCCCAGCAGAACAATTAACCAGTGGAACAGCTTGCCTTCAGAAGTTGTGGGTGTATCCTCACTGGAGTCTTTTAAGAAGAGACTGGACAGGCACTTGTCTGAAATGGTGTAGGGTTTCCTGTTTGAGCAGGGGGCTGGACCAAAAGACCTCCAAGATCCCTTCCAGCTTGATTCCAATTCTGATTTTTCCCATTAGATCCCACATTTGAACTTGTGAACAGAAATGTGTGCACTTGCATAAGTGTTAGTGCTGCTGTAAAATAAGCTAATAGAAAGCTGCCCGTTTTATTTGATAGATTTTGCATCCGTATCCTGCCTTTTGTCCAAATTCTATTGACTGGCAGCTTTTGTGACATTACTAAAGCATGCTTAACTTGGGCGTTTAATGAAAAAAGGAGGAATGTAGTGGAGAAATGCCACTAAAACTTTTTCATCTTTTGGGCAGTTAGTCTGCCTGGATATCTTTAAGAATTCATTTAGCTTCCTAAAGTAAGCCTGCCTGTTTTCATTGCATCAATGTTGGTGTGTGACTGCTTAATAATCTATTGCAATCAACCTCCTTGGACAAAAATTGAGTAGATATAATTTTCCAATTCTCTTTGGTTTACCAAAATTTCAGAATTAGAGACTTGCAGGCTTCCTTCCCTGCTTTGCCAGAATGGTTTCTCCCAGGAATAAAGCTTTCCCTGTCTCTATCACTAAAACCAGCTTGAGCCAGTTTTGAGCCGCACCCTGCAAATTTATGAATGGCCTGGAGCGTTGGCATGGTAACCCTGGAAATGAGGCCACAGGCCAGGAAAAGGAACTTCTGAATGAAATGTTGGTGTGTTTTTCCCGACCAGTTGGGCTCATTTGGGAGATTGGTTGCAGGAAATTTTTGGGCATTTGCAGGTTGCGATATCTTGGGTTGCTTTTAAGGGCGTGCATGGTTTATGACCTCAAAATGCATTTCTGGGAAGAAGACAACACTAGCAGGATGCAAACTGAGTCGATCAGCCTACTTTCTTGCTGCACCACCAGCATCTCCTTCCCAAAATCTAGCTTCTCCTTTCTCATCCTTCAATCCACCCTCGCTGTCCACTTCCTTTCTCAAGAAAACTTTTGCAATAATAGAGGGGGCCTCAAGCCTTGCAACCTCCTGCTGGAATACTTTACACCTTAACAAGTCCTTTCAGAATTAGGATGAAACACAAACCTGGAAACTACATGAAATTAAATTCTTTATTCTTCACCAAAGAGCAGTGATAGAAAGTTGGTAGATGGGGCAGCTTGCAAAGACCTCCCTCCTTCCAGCATAAGTTGTATACATTACATTCAGCCCCTCCTTTACAATATCTCCCCGTTCACCCAATTCCATTCTTCCATCATCCCATATAAGGAACTTTCTTCCTCCTATGCCAGGGCCTAGTAAGTTTTCTGAAAATACATTTGTCTAATGAAAAGCTACCCTTGGAATGGATACTGTATTTCACTTCCCTGCTTTCCTAAGCAATTTTCAAGGCCTGTGAACAGTGAAGAAGAGTAAGAAGGCCAGCAAACCTTAAAGAAAACAGAATGAGACATAGTTTCTGGGCCTTAATAAGAATGTAAATTCCCTAATGAAATGATGATATTGATAGCCTTATCTATTCAGTCGTGTCTTGGCAATTGTATGGGCCAGGTCTTGTTGCACATTTTCCGATTTTGCATGACTTCTTTGAGTTTTTCTATGCTCTGAGGGCAAGTGTCCAACAACTGGGTTCTTTGACGGCCTAGTTTCCTTTTACTGCTAACTGATCCAAACATAATTGCTTTCTCCAGTCAATTCTTCCACATAACAGCCAAAATAAGTGAGAAACGGTTTTGTGATTTTGCCTCCCAGTGACTATTGTAACGCTCCCACACCCCTGCCCTTAATATTTGGACTCCTCAGCCTCTCCTGAACTCTTGGTACCAACAATGCCAAAGTGTACACATGCGCACACACACAGAACTCTCCTTCCCTCTTCTGCCAATGTGGGTGGCTCTGGTTCTCTTGTTCCCACCTTCAGACAAAAAGGCAGGCATGGAGAACACAGAAGGACCCAGTGGCATTTCACGCACATGCACAAGACTGTGGCTGAATTTACTACTCCATCATCACTTTTCCAAGCCTGCCTCCTTGGCTTGTGCTTTGTATGCATGTGGGAGGAAAAATCAAATTTGCTTCCAAGCCAGGAGAAATGTGCTGGAAATAAAATGGAGGCTGACTGCAAGGAAAGAAGTTTTTTCTGGTTTCCAGAAACTTCAATGACAACAGCATGTTTCTGGGGTGGCTGACAAAATGGCTGAGTGAGTGGATGGATCTTTATAGGGTTCTGGAGTTTTGTGATTGAGATGCTTCAGGGGGTTGTGCAATATAGTAAACCTCGTGCCTTTTGCTATTCTAATTTATTTAGTTATTATTGATTTGTATTGCTACCTATTCGCCATGGTGACTCAAGGCAGCTTACAACATATAAAACCACAATTTAAAACAATAAAACTCGTAAAATCAAATAAATTAATGTAGTGGTGGTAGGTTAATCCTATTATGTCCTAAAGGTCCTGTCCTGTCCTTAGAATTTGGGTGAGGAAATGTAAATTCTTTTTTTTTTTTGAATTTTTTTTTATTATTTTTAAAAACAAACATAAACAAACATAATGTAATACATAAAAACATAAAACATCTTTTTTGAAAGCAGTTTGATCCCGGGTTACATCTCTTCGTACAGACACAAATTCAAATTCATGTTCATTTTATATACCATTCCATATCTTATTACCATTCTACATTTTCTATATAGCTTCTCCCCGCTTTTAACTTTCTTAATTTTATTTTATTTATTTCATCTCAATTCAGATCATTATACTTATATTCTTTGTCTGTCCTGTTTCCAGCTGTCTATTATCTTTTCTCATTAGACAAAATTTCTCCTGTAATCACTGATTAGAGTATGACGCCTTTATATCTTTCCCCTAAATTTATAACACTTAATATAATACATAACTTCCATTCGGATTCTGCTTAGTACATTCTAAAGTTACACACTATATTTTAAAAAGAGAAAAAAATATAAATATATAATATAATTAAAACAACAAATCCATGCCAATTCAAATCTATTGTTAATATTAGTATTCATTTAAATCTTAAACATTTTACGCATTACTTTTCAAATAAGTATACTTCTATGGGAACACTTATAAACTTTCCATAGTTGCTTCCCCCCACTTCACTCATATTTTAAAACATTATACCATTAAAATGTTCCCATTCCTTCCTAGTTCAATTCTCTCATTTATTTCATTTCATTTATTTTGTTCACAAAAGTTTCGCTGAGTTACACTGAGTATTTTATCCCACTTTTTAATCATATATTATTTCCAATTTTCTAACATAGTTTCTAATACAAATATAACAATACAATCTTATGTACCTTTGCAGAATCACTTTTTCAGTTAAATTTTTACCCATTATCTCTAAATAAGTCCTGTTTCTTTACATCTTGCTCCACACCTTTGTAGCTTCTCTTCCCTTCCTTCCTCCCTTGCTTCTTCTCTCTATCCTTTTTACCCCCTTGTCTCTCCACCTCCA